ATCAGACGGCAGATTGGTGTCATTTCCAAGCATTGCTAGTGCATCCAGGATCCCATCGTCACAAGACATGAATGCCTTGAAGCACCAGTCTTTGGTTCTGCCAGCAAATATACCAGACACGTCGGAGCCTGTCAGAGCATGAAGACCCAACAGTGCAGAAGCGCGCTTTTGTCCTAAGCTGTTGTATATATTACAGACAGATATGTTCCTTTTCAGCCTGCCCTTTCCAGTGAGAAAGACTGTAGAAACTGGCAAGTGTGGATAAGTAGCAACAAGACATCCGTATCTGGAGAACTGACCACAAGCTCTGCATCATGGGGAGCACCTATCGCTTGCAGTATGAGCAACGTGTCTGCCTCTTCTTAGCTGGGAGTGAGAAGTGAGTCTGGAATATCAACATTGCCCTTTGTTTGTGTTCCTGAGGTCACCATAAATTTATTCAGTCTGTTGTTTGAGCTCCTGCTGTGGCATTCAACCTTGTCGGTGAGCTCTGCTTTGGTTTGGATATCCTAGAGAAACTCCGTCAGAGAAATATTCTTGATTAAAGTGGTGTCCTTCACATGGTAATATGTTGACTTTCCCTTGGTCCTCTTTGTCCTCTTCTTTTCCTTGAGTGATGTTTTCATGTACCTGTCAAACACCAATCTGACCTCATCATAGTTTGCAGCTATGTTACAGACTATCGCCAGAAAGGAGTCTGCAAAATCTTGACACGTCTTTATTTGGTCAGTCTTGGTAACCGAGTTTACCACAGTCATTCCGTCGATGATGACTACTCGATATGTTGATGGCTGATTTGTCTCCACATCTGTTTGTTCTACTGTTGTAGCTGCTACTTGTAGTGGTACATGTACTGAATGATTGCCAGATGGCTCACTTTCTGTTGCCTCGTTTCTGTTCTGCGTTACTACTGAGTTTCTCAAGATGATGCAGTATCGAATCCTTATCATAGGCTAGCAGAAGAGACCCACCTGAAGCAAATAAGGATCGCGGTACCACACCAAACTCGTAAGTTCCAATGCACTCCACCAGGTCAAGTTCTGGTCGACTTCTGGAGATAACAATGAAGTGCTGCAAAAGTCCTCGCTCTTCTTTGATCTTGACCACCTTGTCCCCTACTCTGATTTCGGTTGATGCATTAGCGCTTTTGAAAGTTCCAAGTTTCTTTTTGGTCATTTTCTCCCACACAGAGAGTTTCCCTTCTGTCAGGTGTTCAGTGACGAAACCTCCAAACATCTGTTGACCAATCTCATCACGGCGAAGGATGTCATTGGCAACAGTTTCATTCATCACTGACTTGGTGAGCAGGTTGTATATCTCATCCTCGTCAGCAGATTCAAATGGGTTCCCATGCTGATGAAATACTGCACTGAGATTGACTGCATTTTGTGTGACACGAGAGAGCTTTCCTCCTGTGAGTTCATGGTGTTATTGTGTTCTTTTCTCATTGTTGCCAGTGTAGTATGTTTTTTTCAAATTCGTGTTGTAAATTTGACAGTTCAGGTGCAATGAGAAAGTACTTGTCCAGTGACTTTTCGTTCTGAGTGATTCCTACTATCCCACCAATGACTGAGTTCACGATTCTCTTGTTCTATCCCATGGTCTGGACCTATTGATGTGAATCCAGCCAAGCCTTTGGTGACACAGAAGTTGCCCTTCTCAAACTCGGCCCATATTTCAAGATGATCTTTTTCTGTTTCTTGCATCATAGATATGTACAGTGGCATCAGACGTGCATAATTTAAATGGTCGGGGGCAAAGAAGTACTATTGTTACTATGGAGATAAGAGTGATCACGTGATATCATCGGGTTCCTCATTGAAAGTCTATCTATATTGCTAAACGGCGGCCATTTTGGACGGCATCTTGAAAGTAGGCATGTAAATCACAACTTTAGCCGAACTTGGATGGTTCCATTGTCTTTCTTGTGTCAGAAAACCTATATTTAGATACTTTGTTTGGCATCATATCATGTGTACTTGCGAAGATATTGAATTATTGCTGAACGGCGGCCATTTTGGACGTCATCTTGGATTTCGGACCTCTAGAATGTGAAAAAAAATGGCACCCCAATTTTTTTAAAAACTTATGATAACTTCTTTCAGAATCAATTGAGGTTTTGTTATTACCCAAAAAATGACACGAATATTTATTTCATGACAAATGAGTCTACACTAACTGCTTGTGTCGAAAAATAAGTAATTCCGCTTGAATAATCAGGGCTCAAAATTCACAAAAGCCATTGCTGTCGTAAACATGGGAATGTCTTTAACATCAACGGCCAAAAATTGCTGTTGTAAATTTCGGAAAAGATCGGTTGCCAGGCAACGAAACATACGCCCACAGCAGCTAAATCATACGAGCATATTTATTCTTTTGTAGGTAATTAGGGGCATTTAAATAATAGACAATTTCATGCAGATGACATTATAATTTTTGTTGTTTGAGGGTTCACAAGGTTCTAAAAACTAAAACAAGGGCCGTAACTGTAACTGTTGAAATTCGACAGGCTTTTTCGTCTTACTAATTTAAATAATGCATATAATAAATTTCATACAGATTGGATGATAACTTTTGTCGTTCGAAAGCGTTCACATGGTTCAACAAAGTAAAACAAGGGCCATAACTCTAGAAGTAATTGCTGACATTCAATAGGCTTGTTCATTTCACTAATTTAAATGATGCATGTGAATTCATACAGATTGGGTGATAACTTTTGTCATTATAACTTTTGTCGTTCAAGTGTTCACAAGATTTAACAAAGTGAAACAAGGGCCATAACTCTAGATGTAATTAATGGAAATTTGCTGAGACTCAATAGGCTTGTTCGTTTAACTAATTTAAACGATACATATAAATTTCATACAGATCAGTACACAAGTACAACAAAGTGAAACAAGAAACAAGGGCCATAACTCATGGCATAATTAACAGAAATTGCTGAAATTCAATAGGCTTCTTCGTTGCACTAAAAGATGCATATCAATTTCAAACAGATCGGATGATAATTAGAGCATTCACAAGATTCAACAAAGTGAAACAAGAGCCATAACGCTAGATGTAATTAGATGTAATTAGCTGAATTTCAATAGGCTTCTTTGTTTTACTAATTTAAATGATGCATATAAATTTCATACAGATCGGATAATAACTTTTGTCGTCAAAGCATTCACAAGGTACAACAAAGTGAAACCAGCGGCTGCCAGGCAGGATACGCCCACATTTTGCAAGAGATGGATAGAGAACAAGCTAAAAACAAACGTGATTTTTTGTATAATCAGGGGCAATAATCCAGGAAGTTATGGCCTGAAATGTGCAAATATCAAAAGGGACAGAGATCTTTGGGATATAAAGATATGTTTTAAGTTTCATCAAAAAGCGGATAAAAATTGTGACCTCTAGAGGGTCCACAACCATCGTATTACACACTTCTACACAAATTGCATACAAAGAGCGGCCATTTTGTAGGGCAGTTTTATTTCGATTTTCCAGAAATACGAATTCAACCTTCATTATGGTGGATTGGTGATGTATTTAAAAAGTTTTTTAAATCAGAAAAAAATGGTGACCTCTAGAGAATCTGCAAGCTAAAAATGCGATTTTTTGAACAATCATAGGCCATAATCCAGGAAGTTAAGTTCGGGTATTGACACGTTTTTTTTTAAATTGTATAAAAATTGTGACCTCTACAGAGACTACAAGTTAAAAACATGATTTTTTGTTCAATCATGGGCCATAATTCAGGAAGTTACAATCCGATATGCGCGAATATAAAAAGGAACCAATATCTTTGGGTTATTAACATGTATTTCAAGTCTCATCGAAATTGGATTAAAATTGTGACCTTTAGAGGGTCCACAACATTGATTTACCAGACGTTTACACTATTTGCCTACGAGCGGCGGCCATTTTGTCCGGCAGTTTTGGCCTGATTTTCATGAAATTCGAACTCAACAAACATTACGGTGTAACGGTGATATATTCGAATGGTTTTTTTTTTAATTGTTACCTCTAGAGGGACCACAAGCTAAAAACGCGATTTTGAGTACTATCAGAGGCCATAATTCAGGAAGTTATGATCCGATTAGCGCGAATTTCGAAGGGAACCAATATCTTTGGGTTATAAACACGTATTTCAAGTTTCATCAAAATTGGATCAAAATTGTGACCTTTAGAGGGTCCACAACATTGATTTACCAGATGTTGACACTATTTGCGTACGGTGTAACGGTGATATATTCGAAAGTTCTAGAGGGACAACAAGCTAAAAACGCGATTTTGCATACAATCAGGGGCCATAATTCAGGACGTTATGGTCCGATATGCGCGAATATTGAAAGGATCCGAGATCTGTGGGTTATAAACATACATTTCAAGTTTAAACAAAATGGGAACATGATTTTTCGTACAATCAGGGGCCATAATCCATGAAGTTACAGCTTCTTTGTTTTACTAATTTAAATGATGCATATCAATTTCATACAGATCGATTGATAACTTTTGTCGTTAGAGCATTCACAAGGTGCAACAAAGTCAAACAAAGGCCATAACACCAGAAGAAATTAATGGAAGTTATTGAAATTAAATAGGCTTCTTCATCTCACTAATGCAAACAACATATATCAATTTCAAAACAATCAGAGGATAAATGTAGACGGTGTATAAAAATGGCTTTGGTGTTGAACAAAATGGCCTTAGAGAGGCTTGCTGTCTACAGGCATTTTTCCAAAAATGGCCTTAGATACAGATCAGCGAATTTTAAGCCCTGATATTGACAATTATTTGGGAATTCTCAGTAATACTGAATGAAAACTAAAACTATACTATTTATTTAAAACAGAGCGTACAGGAAATGAGGCTCCTTCATGCTTAATTTTGTGTATGTGTGTTCCCTTTGAAATTGACTTGCATTTTGCAAGACAGACTTATCAAAACTGTCCAAACCAGTGAATTACTAATTTCAAGAATCTCAGAAAAACAAAAGACAAAACAATAAATACCTGTTCATATATTGTATGTAATACTATAGGCTCTCTACTATTATAAGACCATGTAAAGATAAGAGGTAATATGGCACTACCAAATGTAAATGGTGTTTCTTGTTCTGTTAAACCAATAGCATAGACTGGCATCTGCAAAAAAGATAAATATTAATACATTTTTTCAGTAATTTCCAAAATAACTCTTGAAGTAATGAATGTAAATGGTTCATAGTCAACAGAGAGGTTCCGCAACCAGTACGAACTTCAAATTTTTTGTGTGCAGACGTCATCACTTCATGTGTTGTCATTGACATAAGCAGCATTCAGTTCGTCCATTTTCTACGAAGATTTCTGGAAAAGTTCCAGGTTAAAAAAATGAGGTACGTAATCGTGATTTTCTCGCTGATTTGTGGATGAAATTCATATTTTTGCGGTTTTATAGAAAGCTTGAACATTTACAGTTCAGTAGAAGGTTGATCAGCGTCAAAGTGGTTGGCAATTGTTCTGATTTTGGGCAAACTTTCCTGTGAAATTTTTTTTTTTTTGACAGTCTTCCATGAGATCGAATCATCTCGAATTTGATAAAAACACATTGCAATGGGCTTCTTGAGGACTAAAATTTGATTTGATTTGATATTTTGTATTAAACCAAACTAAACAGTGTTATTCATTGTTTCAAGGGAGCCACAGTGGCTAAGTGGGTAAGACACTGGCTCGCTAGCCTGTCCCGTGTTTGATCATTGGCCGAGAAAGTTCATCAGGATTTTCCTACGGTTTACCTTTGTCAGTGGTGCAGGACGAAAGATCCTGTGGCAGTTGGAATTCAATATAAGAGTGCCGTTGCCCAGGCAAAATTTCCCCCATAGCACACGGTATGGCATATGCCAGTCTTCATTAGCCCAGTCAGAGCAGAACAGTAGGATGTTAAACCCCATTTCATTTATTTCTTATTTCAGGTGAACCAACATGGTTGACGCTGAGGACAACAAAGGTGTGAATGGTTCTGCAAATACTATGAGGGGTGATTGATAAGTAGTGAGCCTAACACAGAAAGAAACAAGAAATTTAAATCAAATGCATTTATTTTTCAACATAGTCATAGTCCCCCTTCAGTGTAATACACTTCTGCCATTGGTGCTGCAGAGCCTTTATTCCAGTTCTGTAGAAGTCTTTGTCTTGGGTGTTTAGAAAATCATCCACAGCGGCAATGACGTCATCGTCAGACGGGAAATGCCTACCGGAAAGACATTTCTTCAGAGCAGGAAACAGATAGAAGTCTTAGGGAGCTAAATCAGGAGAGTAGGGTGGATGCTGAAGAAGTTGAAAACCACAGTCATGGATTGCTGACATGGCGACAGCTGATTTGTGCACTGGCGCATTGTCCTGGTGGAAAATCACACCTTTGGTCAGCTTTCCTCGTCTTTTGGTCTTAATTTCTTGCATCAACTGCCTTATAAGTGCTGTATAGTATCTACCGTTAATTGGTCAACCCTTTTGGAGGTAATTCACCATGAGAACACCCTCAGAATCCCAGAATACTGAGGCCATCACCTTTCCTGCCGATGAAACAGTCTTTGCCTTCTTTGGGGTCAGAGACATCACATGTTTCCACTGTTTTGACTGCTCTTTTGTTTCTGGCTGAAAGTGGTGGACCCAAGTTTCATCCATAGTAACAATTTGTTTTAGGAAACGGTCAGGATCAGTTTCAAATAAGGCTCGATCCTCTTCTGACATGATGTGTCTTGAACGCTTTTGATCAGGCGTCAAAAGATTTGGCACCCATCGTGCTGAAACCTTTGTCATTTCCAAAGTTTCAGTGATAATAGAATGAACTCTCTCCTGGCTAATACCAACTACCCCAGCTATGAATCGTTCAGTAACTCGCCGGTCATTCATTATCAGATCATGGATTTTTTGTACCATTTCAGGTGTTGACACAGTTTTTGGTCGACCATGGCGTGGTTCGTCTTCAATGCTGTAATTCTTCGTGTTTGCCAAGGGTCTTATGATAAAGAGACAGGACAATATGCCTGTAATTCTCGCCCCAAAAACACTTGAAGGGGCAATTCAATCGATTAAATGGTACAAGCATAACAGTATTGCTATATTTGGTTGTACAGGCTGTCGTGAGACGCCTAGTCCTAACAGAGACGGTTTCGCCCAAGTCTGAAGGAATGGAAACTTGTATGCAATGTGTTGAAAAACGTTCTATTAAGCTTGAGACTACTTTAAACACTTTAGTTGTGAAATTCGACGATTTAAATGTACGGTTTAATAAACTTGCAAACTTTGTACCCGCGCGGACATTTCCCCTGCATATATCAACACCCGAGGGGTGATCAAAAGTTCCAGGATACCAGCTCGACTGGTGTCGATATAAGAATTGACTAAATTAATACTACGAAAGTCGAGGAAACGTGCGAGTTATCTACGTCTATCCGTAGGATACATTCAGATTCTATGTATAAGCTTGATTTAAAGGTACAAGGTCAACAAATGTCTCCTATTCTAGATACGGGTAGTCAAGTGACGATACTTTCGGATCGCCGATATGAAGAATTAGGGGATAAACCGCCGAAAATTAAAGACGTACAATTGCATACGGCAGGTCGTCAGTTAAACTTTCCTGGATTCATTGTCGGACCGGCTTACTTAAGATTTAGATAATTTCCATAATTCGCTTGCGCGTAGGGGTCTTTAGCAGTGGGAGGAAACCGGAGGACCCGGAGAAAACCCACGAAGTTGGACAGGCGACACGTACAACCGGGGATTCGAAACTTAAGATTTAGGTTAGATCATTTATATGTAGCTCCTATTGAAGATGATATGCTATTAGGTCTTGATTTTATGCGGGGAAATAAAGTGCATATTGACATGTTAAATGAAAATTGGTGACGATGTTTTTAACTTGTTCTATGGTAATTTCGATGAGCAATTCCAGAATGCTGATTTATCGGTGGCTAAGACAATAGTAGTTCCACCGATGTCTGTAGCTCGTGTTCGGTGTAATATAAATTAAAGTTTATCGAGATACATGGTGGAGCCGTTAAAACACCCGAAGTTATTAATTGCATGTTCTATACACTCAGATATTGAAACAGAATTTCCACACATTTGTTTGATCAATCCATCTGACGACAGGGTAGTACTAGAAACGAATGAATCCATAGCTAAGGCCGTTGAGTTTGGGGAAAATGATATTGTTAATCCATTACCGCCAGATATTAATCAATCGGGTTCAATAAATTCAGACAAAATACCCGAGCATTTAGTCGATTTGTTTGATCATTCAAAGAAAATATTATCGAGAGAGGATCAATTAAGGCTTGAGAATTTGTTAATCGAATATCAGGAAGTTTTCGCGAAGCATCAGTTTGATTTGGGGAATTTGACTGCAATGGAATACCTCATTGAAACGAATGACACTAAACCAATTAAACAGCCTATAAGACGTACACCCGTTTGTTTTGCAAAGGAGGAAGAGGAACATTTAAAAAAAATGTTAGATGCGAAAGTCATTCAACCGTCAAACTCAGATTGGGCATCTCCTCCTGTCTTAATCCGTAAAAAAGATGGAACGGTCTGATGGTGTATAGATTACCGGAAATTAAATTAAATTCCGGCAATATGGCATGAAATTGAAGCCTAAGAAATGCGAATTGTTTCAGCAGGAAGTCAAATTCCAGGGCCGTATGGTCAGTCAAAATGGTCTAAAAGTGGGTAATAATTTAACAAAGACCGTCAAGAAATGGATGGTTCCCACTTGTACTAAGGAAGTCGAATCCTTCTTGGGCTTTGCAAACTATCATAGAACCGTTATCAAAGATTTCGCTAGAATCACTATACCGTTATACGCCATTACCGGTAAAAAAGCATTTATATGGGGTAATAAACAACAGATTGCATTTGATCAACTTAAACATTTGCTCGTAACAACTCCGGTGTTAGTGTTGCCTACGGAAAATGATACCTTCATTCTCGACTGTGATGCAGGCATGAACGCCATTGCCGCCGAATTATCACAGATACAAAACGGCCAAGAAAGAGTTATCGCCTATAGCAGTTTTTCCCTTTCACCCGAGCAGTGACGTTACTGTACAACAAGACAAGAACTTTTGGCAATTGTAGGGTTCACTAGACAATTTCGACATTATTTGCTTGGGAAACCTTTAATAGTAAGAACTGACCATGCCAGTTTAACCTGGATGTTACGTTTTAAACACCCGACAGGACAACTCGCCCGCTGGTTAGAGGAATTAGGTCAATATTACATGACGGTCGTACACCGTGTACACCGTAAAGCGAATTTACATATCAACTCAGATGCTTTAAGTCGTATGAAACTAAAGGATAAACCGTGCGACAATTTTAACATAGACGTCAAATTAACAGATTTACCGTGCGGTGGTTGTTGCTATTGTCAAAGAGCTCAAAGGAATTGGATAGAATTTGCTACAAAAGTAGACGATGTAATACCGTTACCATATAAGTCTGGTATTAAGCGCAATTTACTGTTAGACAAAAATATCAGCGATGACCCCGTTAGTATAACGGTTACAGGGTATCCGAAGGACCCCCGGATAAACGTCGTAACTATTGATGAAGTTGAGGGCGATGACGTAGTAGGCGAGGGGATTTCCCTAACTGACTATTCTGCGGAGACGATCAAAACTGCTCAATTTAATGATCAAGATTTAGAGATTATTCTGACTAGGCTGAATACGGGAATCGAACCGGAAGAAAGCGATTTAACCTTAAAAAATCCGGCGGTAAAACATTACTGGATTAATCGTAATTTATTTCTTTTGGATAATGGTGTTCTTTGCGTAAAACGACCTAGTAATCTATATATACATAAATAGAAACAAATATCACAGAGATTATCAATTAAAAACAAATATCACAATACTTTATGTATATATAACTAAAATACATCAAATGAAAATTACAAATATATAATTAAAATTTTGAGTAAAAATTTGTCTCTTTTAAAAAATCTAGTAATCTACAATATAGACCCGGTTGGGCAAATAATTGATATAAGGACTGGCAACGGTAATGATTAGATCTAATATCCTTAAGATGCTTGCACTCAATCAAAATGTGCTTAACTGTCAAAGGAACATGACAGTGTTCACATTCTGGTTGAG